CCGACCTTGATCTTCTTGGCGGCTGCCACTCTCTTAGCCGTCTCCACCTGGCATTGAATCCACGTGGATCCCAGCCCATTGAGAGTCCGCCTAATTTGGCCCACTTTGATCTCCTGTAGTGGGCATTCCCCTACTTGGGAGATCGCTGTTCTGACCTCTTCTTGCGTGACCGATTCGTCTAAGTCCTTCAGCCTCAGCTCGGCCAGCTTCACAGGGCGTGTCACCGTTATACTCCTGCCCTGCGTGACTGAGGCGATCTTCTCCGCCAGGGCATCGGCTTTCCCCTTCGCCTCTTGCCCTCCCGGAATCTCCAGGAGCATGGCTCCCGACATTGCCTTTCTGGGCTTTATGCTGTCAATGCCCAGGTCTTCCAGTTTGATCTGGGACCTAATGTATCGCATCCCCTCTCCTGCTTATAATGATCCCACCTAGGCGAAATCTGTGTTAATATGTCCGATAGTAACGTCGCGCAGTACAGGGTGGGATAATATATGATTCGTATACGGTATATGATTCACATAGCAATATAATGGCCACCACCTTGCCAGGTCCTAAAAATATGGCGTTTAAGTTTCAATTTGATTTATATCAGAAAAGGACCGAGATAATATTAGTTGTAGTTTATACACACGCGGCCGAGAAAGCGTTCAAAGTAGTATACATGTTATTGCGAATAATATTATCACAGCCCCAGTGGTCGAGCTGACTAAGACGCCCGTCACGGATTGAGAGGTCCCAGGTTCGAATCCTGACTGGGATAATATATTTCGCAATAAGAATTTTAATTCAATAGGGGAAAGGATAAATTTATAATGCTAAGTATAGCATTAAAATTAAATTAAAATAATTTGAAAAATCGCTCTGCGATTTTTAGAACACGTGAATTCACTGACGATAATGATCCCACCTAGGCGAAATCTGTGTTAATATGTCCGATAATAACGGCGCGCAGTACAGGGTGGGATAATATATGATTCGTATACGGTATATGATTCACATAGCAATATAATGGCCACCACCTTGCCAGGTCCTAAAAATATGGCGTTTAAGTTTCAATTTGATTTATATCAGAAAAGGACCGAGCAAATATTAATTGTAACTTATTCGAGGTCCTAATACATGTGCACATAGTCCTGGAAATTCCGTCTGTTAGGAAACAGCGTGAACTTATTCAAGGTCCTAATACTTTGCGCAAGACGCTACGTGAGATACGCGACAGCAGCGCCAATGCCACGTTGCGGCAGAAAAGTGAAAGGGACGCTGGTCTGGTCGACGACGACGACGACGACGATGATGATGATGACAAAGATGTTTCTTAATCCAAAATTCCACAAAACTGATTTTGCATTGCAATTGCATTGCAATACCTCCACTCATGGGGCACGTAGGAGAAAAGTAAAAACACTTTTATTTTGCAAATCGTATCCAAGCTATCGATTAAGCGTAGTCTCAACAGCTGTTGTTGAGATCCTAAAATCTGAAGGCCCGTCAACTCGTGTACTCGCGTAAACTTAAACGGTCGGTCTCGCGCGCGTGTACTAGCTGTGCTATTTCGCTAGTGGGTCTGTGAATGAAGAGGCTGTGTATCTTGCCGCTGAAGAATACTCTCTTTTTATTTTCTTTGCTATCACTCAAGTACAAGCTCGGTCGCTGCGTAACGTACACTGACTCGCGCCGCGCCTCTCGCGCGGTGGCGCTGTGTTTCGTTATCACACTTCTCCCCCATGGGATTTGATTGCCACCCACATAATAAAATAAAGAAAATACAAAAAAAGGAAGAAAAGAAAGGTAATGGATGGGGGGGGGGGGCGACACTTAATAGAAACGTTTATAGAAGCCTTCTGGCTTGGTTGCAACCGCACGCTCAGGGCGTCGCAGCAGGGGCGCTTCCTCCGGCTCCTCCGGTTGCTGGGACTCTTCTTCGGCATCCTCGTGGGGCGACTCGTCGGCGTCATTCTCTCAGGTCTGCCCGTCGGCGTTCGTCGTTTGCTGCTGCCGCGGTGTGATAAGGGGCTCAAACGTGCCCAATGACGGCGACAGGTCGAACGTGTCCAGGAGGACGTTGTCCTCCTCAGGGGTGCTTGTATGGCGCAGCTTGAGCTGGTTTGCGTGTCTTCTGACCTGTTGCTCGTCCGCTTTCGCTTCCGTTCCGATTAGGTAGTTGACGGCGCCCTCCCGTCCCATGATAATGCTCGGGAGCCATTCCCAAGCGTTGTTTCGGTAGTGCTTGTAATAGATAGTGTCGCCGACTTGGAATTCTTTCTATTTTGCGCCGTGGTGGGCGTTAAAGCGGGCTTCCATCTCGCCCTTCCGGGTCGCTGGAGGTTCTGATGGCGGCTTCACCAGGTCGAGCCTCGTCTTCATTTCACGGCCGGTCATGAGCTGGAAAGGCGATTTGCCTCCGAGTTCGTACGACGGCGTGTAGCGGTAGCACATAAGGAACTTCCGTAAAGCTTCGTCTGGATTTCCAGTGCTCCTTAGCTTCTGCAGTCCCTCCTTTAGGAGGCCGACGAATCTTTCGGCGCGGCCATTTGACTGCGGGTGGTACGGCGCGCTCGTGATGTGCTTGATCCCGTTAAGCTCGCAAAACCTTTTCAAAGTTGCTGGAAACGAGCTGCGGGCCATTGTCCGAGACAATTGTGTCGCATACCCCCTGTCGTGAGAAAGCCTCGCACAGGCTATCGATTGTGCTCCCTGTTGTCATGGTGCGCACCTTGAAGATTTTTCGGGTAGTTGCTGTAAGCGTCAACGATGACTAGGTAATGGAATCCATTTATCGGGCCTGCATAGTCGAGATGGATGCGCGACCATGGCGCCTTGGGTGTTGGCCAGGCCTGCAGTGTACACTTCGTGGGCGTTTTACCGGCTTCCGCGCAGATGTTGCAATCCCGAGCGCGTTTCATGATGTCGTCGTCGATTCCCGGCCAGAAAAACTTACTTCGTGCCAGTAGTTTCATGCGCGATGCTCCCGGGTGATCTTCATGGAGTTCGTCGAGCATGCGGCTACGGAACTTCTCTGGGATGACAATCCGCTCGCCGTAGAAAAGGCACCCTTGAATAACTGCCAGGCCTTGAGAGAAATATCGCGGTGAGAGAAATATTCGGCTGCTCTGGTGTTGATCTGCTTTTGTTTTCGTAGCCACCCTTTCGCGGCATAACTTGCGACTTCCCGAAGCTCGCTGCATTCCTCCGTCTCGCGCTGGATGTCGCCGAACCCGACGGGAAGCATCTGGGCCGTCTCGATTGCTAGGCAGGTTTCTGACGTCGGGCGGATCGATGCGATAACGACGTCCTCCACTTCCGGTTTGGGGTGAGAAGCTATGAGCCTGGAGAGGAAATCGGCATAGGCGAAGCTCTTGGTATCAATGTATCGAACGTCAAAGTCGTAAACGAGTAGGATGAGCGCGTATCGTTGTAGCCGGTTTGCTGTATAGACTGGGATGCCGCTTTTGCTGCCGAAGATTGAGAGGAGGGGCTTGTGGTCAGTCCGGAGCTCGAATCTGCGGCCGTAGATGTAGCGATAGAACCTTTTAACCGCGAACGTTAGCGCCAATGCTTCGCGTTCTATCTGCGAGTAATTTCTTTCGGCCTTTGTCAATGACGTGGCGGCGTGCGTGATTAGTCGCTCTGTACCGTCGTCCATTTTGTGTAGGAGGGTTGCGCCAATTCCGTAGCTGGAGGTGTCGGCGGCTACGATGATCCCTCTTGATGGGTCGAAATGCGTGAGAGCCAGGTCCGACGCGAACACATCCTTCAGCTTGATAAAGGCCTCTTCGTGCGTCGGTGTCCATCTGAATCCGACATCATTCTGGAGGAACTCGTCCAGCGGCCCGCGCAGGTCCTTGAGTTTTGGGATGAACTTGCCGTACCAGTTAACGGCTCCGAGGAAAGCGCGCAGTGTCGAGACGTCCGTTGGTGCGGCAATGTTACGGATCGCTTGTGTTTTGGCTGAATCCGGCCGCAACCCGCCGGCATCGATGATCTGACCCAGATATGTGACCGAAAGCTGTCCGAATGAGCACTTCCTGAGCTTCAGATGGAACCCGAACAGTAGTATAGGTATGGGATTTCTGGACCACTTTTGAAATTTGATATCGGCGGTCATAACTCTAACCAGGGAGCGGGGAGGGGGGTACTCCAAGGCGAGGGGACCGCGGAAGGAAGTACGCGACCTTGACGTCACGCAAGGTGCTGACCTGTCACTACGTGACATGTAACAGATATCGTTTCCATTTTTATTAGCGCGAACACCTGGACGCGTATTCTTATTTTCCTTGTTATGAGTCACAGGGTCAAGCCCCGAAACCTGGCTGCGGGCAGTGACTTTCTTATCAAGGTGATGTCGAGGAGTTCCACGTTTATTATTCCGCAGCGCTTGGCGATCCGCGGGGGCGCGGGGAGGGGGGAGGACCGCGACACTACGCAATCCCCCGATGTGGGGAAGGGGAGGTCCGCGGCGCGAGGCGATCCGCGGCGCGTGCATGTAATAGATATCACCGGGATGTCTTTGATTAGCGCAGACACACAGCTGCGCGTATCCATGGCACGAGTCATGAGATCAAGCGCCGAAACCTGGCTGCTGATAAAGTCTTTCTTATCTAGGCACGTGATGGCAGGAAGTTCCACGTTTAAACTCGCATCTACTGCATCGGCATGTAATAGATATCACCGGAGATGCGCCTTTGATTAGCGCCGATACCACAGCTGCACGTATTAATATTATTTTCCATGGTATGAGTCACGGGGTCAAGCGCCGAAACCTTTTTTTTTACGTGTGGAAATCCTTTATGGATACCCAGGCCGCCCTCCAGGAAGGGAGTTTACATTAAGTGGCCCGGGTTATGTGGGACTGCCCCCCTAGTGGCGATCGGGTGCGGCCGCTGACATTGCGACCGCTGGGCTTACCGCACTAAAACCACACGGTGGACTGCGCTGTGCTTTACTTGGGGGACGCCCAGGACTTGGCAGAGCCATTACTTCTGGACGCCTCCCGCACCGGCCCGCCGTTTGATGGGCGGGCCGCTGCGCTCCCTCCTCCGTTGGTGTGGGGGGAGGGGGGACTCCTCCCCGCAGGGGGAGTCCACTACTCTCTTGGGCGGCAGAGGCGTCCACGACCTCTACCGCCCGCCTCCGTGGAGGCAGGGCCTGACGGGGTTCCCGGCCCGCCAGACCCAGACCGCCTCGCCCCTTGTCGTTGGGGGAAGGCCATCTCCTCACCGCCTCGGCGGTGCTCCGCCC